AGGGCGGCCGGCGTAGCCAGCTCTGCCTCTGCGAGCGCCCGCTGTTGCAGCCGGGCCGTGCGGAGCAAGGGCGAGCGTTGCCCAGCGAGCGCCCCGGTGCTTATCCCCTCAGCCAGGCCCTGCTCGAACGGGCGGGCCCTGCCTGGCTATCCCCGAGGGTAGGAGAGCCGCTGGGAGCCGATCCAACCTCCCCGCTCCTCTTGCCGGCTGCGCCCCCAAAAAGCAGTGAGCGTGGGTAGGGTCACGCCGCCTGCACGTATTCCTGCAGCCCTGCCCTTGCTCGCTGGTCTTCGACCCCGCCACGGCACGCAGCGTTGGCTTGGGCTGCTGCTGCCACCACCCCGGCAGGTCATGGCCAGCTGCCCCCCGGGGCCTGGGGGTTGCCACCCGCTCGCTGGTGGGTGCACGCAGCCCGAGGTCTGTGGAAAAGCACGTTTCTTCAAAGGAATTACGTCCTCGGAGGGAGACGCAGGTGCTAGGCTGGGTATCCAGCCTGCTGGAGCTTAGTGGTAGAGGCTGGTACTGAACTGGGAAAGATTTTGTTTTCAATCTCCATCTCTTTTTTTCTTTTTCATAGCTTTTTCTGCATTGAAGCAGTCCTGGGGCAAAAAGGGTGTCCTGAGGCGATGGAAAAGTACGTGGCATCGATGGTGCTGAGTGCAGTTGGTGACACGCTGGGCTATTACAATGGGAAATGGGAGTTCCTGCAGAGTGGCCCAGCCATCCACAAGGAGCTGGCGGAGATGGGGGGACTCGGCAACCTCAGCATCCAAGGTTGGAAAGTCAGCGATGATACAGTGATGCACTTGGCCACAGCCGAAGCCCTGGTAGCTGCTGGGAAAAACCCAAATTTAGAGCATCTCTATTCCTTGATTGCAAAGAACTACAAGGAGTGCATGAATGATATGAATGACAGAGCTCCAGGTAACCCCTCTATAATGTTGTCTGGGCAGGGCTGTCCTCTCACTAACCCCTCTCCCTTTCCTGCAGCTTGGAGCTGAGACTGGCCCTGGCTCTGCTTTTGCCTGCTTACAGCATTAATCGTATTTCATGTAAAGGCAAAAGTTTTCCACGCTCAGTACCTGATTCAGGACGAACTAAAGAGAATAGAATAAGGCAAGCTCAAGTGGTTAGGGCTTCTCTGAACTAGGTGAAAAAGATACTGTTTTGCCCATGTTTTCAAAACGTTCTTACAGGCATGTTCGAGGCCTGGCCGTGAACTCAGGGGAAGGATGCTGGCTTTTGCGCTGGGGATGTGTCTTTTCCTACACTCAGTGGATGAAGAACGCAAATTCAACCATGTATAATGCACACCCTGAGATGCTGCGTTAAAGCAACACATTTAAGCAGAGAACTACTATAGGATTTCTCGTAATAAATTCAATGAATTACACATAAAATGTATTTAAAGGCACAAAAATCCTTGCTTGGAATAATTAAGTTTACGAAACCCAAAGTCTGCTTTTGGCTAGATTCGCGTGTCTACTTTCTGTGCCAGGACAGTCAGGCCACAGTGATCTTTTCTGAACCCTGTACTTCCATCATCTCTTTTTTCTCTGCAGAGACACAACGGTGCTGAGTTTGGGTCACAGGCAGCAGGGACTGGCACTGTGTGGCAGTATGCAGGAAGGGCGCCTTGACAGGCTGCAGTAGCCAAACCGTATGCAACGTATTCCTGTAGTTCCAAGTTCACCCAGGCCCGCTGACCCCACTGTTTCCCGAGGACCCTGTCTCCCTCTGCGCTCATGGCTCAGCCTCTTCTGAATGCTTGAATTAAACTTAAATTGGAGATAGTGAGGCTGGGCCTCTTTTAAGCAGTGCAGGCAGTGTGAAGTATCCAGAAAACACTCAAGTTCAGCAGTCCTATGCAAAGTTTATACATGGAAAATAAATTGCTTAGGTGTGCCTATTCGGAGCAGCGAGAATATATATTGAGAATGTTTTGGCTTGGCACTAAACACGGGAAAGGCCAAATCCCGCATTGCTCTCTTGGGGTCATTGAGCATAGTGTGACAGAGCTGTGCGTTTCCAAGGCAGACCAGGTTGGAATATTGAGCAGGAATTTATTCTGCTTACCTTTCCACAGTGACCTCCTACCCTCGCATAAAGAACTAAACCAGCAGCATTCTTTAATGTAGATGGTCTCAGTCACTGGGGTAGCCTAATGAATAAAGTATTTAGGAAGGGGTAACAATGCCAGGATAGCAGGCGTCGGCAGGTTAAACTTCCGAGAGACTCGCTGCTGTTTTGGCAAAGGAGCGTCTTGTAGTTCCCCCCGCTGATGGGTTCTGCCAAGGTGGACTAACCACAGCCGGCAGCGAGACAGCACCTGGAAGCTATTTTTGCCTCCTCTATCTAAGCTTGGTGACTAAAACCTGAGATGAAAAGGAGAAGGACCTAAAATTTAAATGTTGGTACTTAATAGATAAGGATAATAGCACACCTGCTGCAGTCCTTCTGTGAGTAACTGAGCTGCAGTATGCCCAAAAGCAGTTCCCGTTTGGAAGTGAAGGATTTAAAAGTAAATTTGCTATGGATGCTAATCGGAGCAGCAAGGAAAGGTCAGGTTATCTAGCTGAACAAAGAAATGCAGCTTCTTTAGTGGGTCCATGGACACTTAACCTTGTAAAATTTTGGGGGGAGGGAGGAAAGTAACAATGAAAAAAATGGAAGTCTGTTGGGCGTGTTCTTGCAACAGTGTTCCGGAGTGCTCCTGCTGCAGCTGCAGGAAAGGTGCTTGGCTCTGAGAGCTTAAATCCTGACACTTAACAGTTCAGTGCCCACTGATGTACTACCAAAGGGAATACCAAATCCATACCCTGAAAAGCTGTCTGCAGTCTCCATGCCATATTGATAAATCCTAATGATGGAAGTTGCATGTCAATAACTTCTTTCTGCAGTTCCGAGTAAATGGATTTTAACTGAGAACATAACTCAAGGTGATGCTGTTCGGGCCCGAAGTAAGTACTCACCAGGGAATTGCAGCCCTTAAGGCTGAGAATGGAAAGTTGCTGCTGAACTTTCACCCAACAGAGGAGAGATTCCCCCAGAAGAGTGGGGGAAAGTCACATTGCTCACCCACGCAAGGGAGTCCAGACCTGAAAACCAAAACCCGCAGTAACAAAGGGATTCCCACAACGTTATGAGTCACCAGACAGCAACGACAGGGTCCCTCAAGTATGCAGCCCCAGGAGAGAACTCGCTGTCTTAATTCAGTGGCAAGTGAATCCCTACATCCATTATTGATCTTTGTGATGTGCCACAGCCCCAAATTCATTGTTCTTCACAGGTAATGAAGCCAATGAATAAAGCAACACAAGCATGGCCGTGTTTCTTTTTGCATGGTACAACTACATCTGCCCCATAGCTCTCCAGGAAACCTGCTTCAAGACTCCGTCTTTCAGCCCAAGCCCTCTCCCTGTAGAACTATTTACCGCTATGGGGTTGTTTTAACTCACCTTTTTTTATTTGTATGGATCGATCCCAAACAACTGTTATTGTCTGTGCTCATGAAGAGTGTAAGTAAGTGGAATGGAAGCCTATTCCATAAATAGAGCCCAGTTGTACTTGAAACTTTTCCAGGTTGTCTTTCTTCACACACTGCTTTCTGCTTGTATTTCTTCTTTCCTTAGACCCTTAGACCTTAGACCCCTCCGCAGGTTACTTCCAGTTTCTTACTGTTCGTACAGAGGATTCCTAACCAGGATTTGGTGGATTTCCAAAACAGAATTTCCTGATTTAAAAACTCCTACAGCAGTTTTTTTTAAAACCTGTTTTTAAAAAAAGACCTGACAATATGATTTCAGTTTGGTCTTCCTAAATCAGCTTTCAAATGTTTTAACTGTTTAAAAGCATGAGGAAAATATTTATAATACTTCATAAATCACAAGACCCTTAGCTGTTGTATGCTGGTTTGTTTTATACAACTTCTTTTCATTTGCAGGTTATCAGTAGTCATCTCCTAAAGTAATACGCGCAAGTTTAAAGCTGCAAATAAATTGTTATTGCAAAATAACCACTCTTTTCCTTGCAGCTTAGGCCTTGTCATCTTCTTCATTTTCTTTTGACTGCAGTTAATGCAAGACGATCTCACTTTTTATTGAGGACTGAGTTGCCTGTTCTCAACCTGCCCAAACATGTCC